TCTCTCCAAGTATATTTATTTTGTGACTATTTCTATTGTTTTTATAACTAAATTGGATTTACTTCATCGTTGAGTGTGTGACAGTACTTCAGTTATAGCATAAATAGAGTGAAGTATTCTCTCCAAGAAAGCAAATATAAAATTAAATAAATAAAGGATAACGTAAAAAAAGTTTCCAGTGGGTTTTTATCCCTAATTTCGTCAATCATGCTATAAATACGAACGTAATCCATCATGCATGATCACTCGGTTTTATTCTAACTGAATACTCTACATGGCCGCTTTATTCTGTCTTGAGCCTAGTGCTGATTATTGTGATGATCATGATGACTTAGAAAAATCGAACGCGAACAACAAAAAAGACTGTGAACATGTGAAAACAATACTGAATCAATGTAAGTATATAGTTTCACTACCACGAAAAGACACGTTTGGTAAATGTACTTATGAAATAGGTTATCATACTGCTCATGAATCAATTGAAGTAGTTCAAACATTCTGTGATATTCACACTCAGGGTTCAACTCATTTGAAAAGTTTTTCAACAACAAGTCTAAAACAAAACTATGATGAACGAACAAAAAGCTCTCTATCGGCCGTTTTTCAACTGGCTGTGCAGACTGCTGTTGCTATAAGTGACCCTCTTGTCAAAGATAGTCAAACGACAATCAGTAGTCTCAAGGATTGGGTAAAAGCGAACTATTCAGATAAAAACCATCGTCGGGCAGCTGACTATAAATGGGAATTGAAAGAAGCTCATGAACCGGTTGAAAAGTGCAAACGAAAAGTGGATAATAAAACGAAGCAATGGAATCGACAAATCAAAGACTTAAATCGACTAAAAACAAAAATGAATTGTGCCACCGAACGAAATCGTTCATCCTTGATCGAAAAGCAGGAAATATCCAAACAACTTTGTGAAATTATTGAAAATCAATTAGTTGTTCTAGATCAAAATTTAAGACGAGAAGAGAGAAAATATCGCCATGAAGCGGCTAAGATTCTTTCAACATGTCAGGATATTCAAGTGAGACAACTGAGTGAAATTAACGAGATATTGAAGAGGTTTATTCAAGCAGTTAAAGAGATAAATATTGGAAAATCGATTAATAACAGCAGTCAGCATCAGGTTGCTGGTCGACTACAAACGAAAACTGTTCAAGAGCATACTGTTAGACAAACTTTGTATGTAGCAAATCAGTCCACTCGTCGACAACGTACTGTAGCGCAAGAAGAAACAGCTGTTTAGTTTTAGTTTTTTTTCTTTTTGAACGAAAGTCAAGAAAAATAAAAGTATATAACGAAATTCTTCGGACTACCGTTATTGAATCAGTCAAAAACAAAGAGATTAACTGGACTTTCATGCAGAAATGGTGAGAAAAAGTGTCTCATCTTATTAAGGTTCTGTTTCTTTCATCTTTCCCAATGTTAAGTTAACGTTCCACAAGTTCATTTATAATGTCAGCGTTTTCCTCCTATTTACCCTTGGCACCATTGAATTGCCATTTCTCCTCACTTCTTATGTTAAGAAGAAACTGGCGTCATCAGTCTTCATCGTCAATAAAAAAACATTTTAGTATATGGTCTGGGTTTCATTTAAAACCCCTGATGCGATAATATTCGTTGAGCGAAAGTGCAAAATTAAGAACAAAATTTCAAGACTTTTGCGACCGATACCAACGTTCTCAGTTTATAATGAAATTTAACGGAAATCATCTTATGATAAATAAAAGAATTTCTCGAATTGTGGTCAACATAACTTTAGCAGTTTATTTCTTTTTATTCTTTAATTAATATAATAAAGTAATATAGACGTTTCAAATCTATCCATTCATCAGCAGCATAAACGAAAATATCAGTTTCGACTATTCTCTGCGGTGTACGTGCAGACAATTTTATGCTTCGTGTCTTTCTGTTCCGTGTTAATCGAGAAGAATATAACGGAAGAGAAAGAAAAATTATCCGTTCTCATCCTTCTTCTTTCCATATGTTGTTTTAATCAAGAAAACTTCCAAAAACGCCTATGTCAGCACTGAATTTTACAAGTTTCATAAAATTTTTCACTTTTATGTAACTTGTGGGTTAAAAAAATCAACATCCAAGTTTGCTAAATTTTATGAAACTTGGAAACAAGTTCCATAAATGTGTGATTTATGCTGTTGCAGGTTTAATTAATTAGTTTCTTATTAATTGTAGTATTAATATGTTACCTAGAGACATATAACATTATTTAATTGGTATATGTCACATAGAGAGGTGTATTTGTGGTGTTTTAATTGAAAATAATGATTTATTTAATTGAAATATATAGCAGTCATTTCGGACTTACAGCGCTGAAAATTTGATCTAAACATAGTTTATTTGATTCAACAAAGCGGGCGGGTCCATTACATGTTGAGAACAGCCGAAAAGAAAAGTTGATTACCACATATATGTTGCGGACAAAATTAGAATTCGGTCAAATTCCGAATTTGTCCGAACAGAATTGGAATTCTAACTTCGTCCGGACAAAATTAGAATTCTAGTTTTGTCCAGAGTTTCTTCGGACAAAATTAGAATTCCAATTCTGTCCGGACAAATTCGGAATTTGACTGAATTCTAATTTTGTCCGCAACATATACATACTAAAAACATACGCTCATATACGATAAAAACATACACTCACAGAGAATTGTGGATGGAGAGAAATAGAGAAGAATCAAAAATAAAAATCGGACAGTGAAATAGAGAGAGTGTGTAGAATAGAATAGAACAATAAAAGGAACATAAATTTCAAATTACGTAGGATAATACAAATATGAGATGGATACAATTTGAAAACAAGAGGGTGTGTACGCAGTTTGATACATTGAGAACCACTAAGTTCAAGTGCAAAAGGGGTTACGTCTGAAGGGGTCTCGTATTCATTTTG